GAGAATTTGACTTTTAACAGGACACAATGGCAAAAAAAGGATTCATGTAGCCGACCCCACGTAGTAGGACAAAGGCTTGATGTTGATGTTGTGATGTTGTTTGAAATGCCCTATATTTGCTGTTGCAGATTAGACAATTCAACTGACGTTGAAGTGAGCTAGCATGTATAAAAAATATACACTTTGATATAAGATGTCATATCAACTGCTGCATGTAGTATTATTCCCATTCAATGGTTTATTTTTGCACACCTTCTATCCGTACTATCTTTCGTATATTAACTTTTTTTATTTTTGGACAGTAATTTAATATACTTGTCACTAATATATCATATGTATGCAAGAAACTAATGGAATGGAGAGATATCCGAAGAGATTATGGAGTTTGCTGAATATTACACTTTGGAGAGGTTAAGAAAATATTTGGAGTAGGAATTGTATAGTATAAAGGGTTGAAGATAATAGCATTGAGATGAACAGGAATAATAATCTGAAGATTGATATTAATTAATTAATTTTTTTGGATTATGAAGGTGGTTAGTGTTTATGTTTTTTATTAGTATTTATGAAAAATTTAAAGTCAATTTTAGAAGGAAATGGGTGGATTGCTATGGTGTATATCCGAAGAAGCGACTATGATTATTCTAGAAAAATTAACTTACAAATTCTAATAAATTCTAATAAGTTGAGTTCTAAGGCGATTCATGTTGTGAATGAGATCATCATCGACATTTTTAGCTTTATCATAATTATTTTGGGGTCTATTTTGAGTGGTGCAGACGGTTTTAAATCAATTCAATGATTTTTTTGTAAAGCTTTTTATGCTACTTTTGGTCTACTGTTTTCCTTCATAACCCTTCAATGCTAATTTAACAAATTATGAATGTATTTCTAATTTTAATTGCATATGTCCAAACTAGTTAAGTCTATTTTCAATTATTTTATCTTCACAATATCCTACTCCTATTGCCTCTATGATAATTTATTAGCCTTTTCTTTATAGTTTTGCAACATATTCATCCACATCTTCATATCTCTGTCATGCTCAACTCGGCCACCAATATAATTTTGCCACCATCCTTATATATATATTCTTCAGTATAATTGATCCAAGGTTTTTAAAGCTATCATTTTATTTTCTAGCTATAATGGCTAATAGTTACTAATATCATACCCACTAAAATTGCACATCATATATTTATTTTTATTTTACCAATCTTAAGCTTTTTTCTAAATATTTTGTTAATTGTTCTAACTTTTCATTTATTTCAATCGTTTTCTTATTATTATAAATATCATTTGCAAAATACATGCATATAGGCACCTCATTTTAAAAGTCCTTTTAAAAGTCCATAAGCATTCCTTCAACTAATAAGAAATTCATATGAACTTATTGATAATCCTTGTTGTACTTCTGCTAAAATAATTTCTTTGATTACTCTATAGCTTCTTCTTCTAATACTGGTCAATATTTTACCATTTTATTTTTAAAAATGAGTATAAAATGTGATTGGAGAAAGTAATGTTTGTTTTCATAGAAGCATTTAAACTTGCAATTAAGAACGTATACTTTAGGTGAAGGATCAGCTAATGACTTGAAAAGGCATGCTTTTAATTCACATATACAACAATAACAACAACATCAAGCCTTTGTCCCACTACATGGGGTCGGCTACATGAATACTTTTTCTCCATTGTGTCCTGATTTACATATACGAACTAAAAAATTAGATGCAACAAGAGCTAAAGAATTACAAAAGATTGTAAGGTCTTATAAGGAGAATCCTACTTGCTATTACCTGATTTACTAATTAACTCTGTTTTTTTTTCCTTACATTTAAGTAGGTGTTCCTGCGATAGGAAATGAGTTCATTTGATGCAACAAGAGCGGAGCTTGCTCTGTTGGTCTTGTACCTCAACAAAGCCGAGGCTAGGGATAAGATTTGCAGGGCTATTCAGTATGGGTCAAAATTTTTGAGCAATGGACAGGCAGGCACTGCACAGAATGTTGACAAATCAACTAGCTTAGCAAGGAAAGTTTTTCGACTTTTCAAGGTGAGGTTTTTGTTTCTCAGAAATTATCAACTGTTTTTATTCTTCTGCTTGAGCACAATGATTTTTATCTGGCGGACGTGCAGTTTGTGAATGATTTGCATGCTCTGATAAGTCCTCCTGCTCAAGGGACCCCTCTTCCTCTCATATTAGTTGGAAAGGTACCTGGTTATTTCTCTTTTTTTTTCAAACATTATTTATATCTATGGGCTATTGAATCTGTCTGTTTAAAATTCACCGGGCATCTTGCAGTCTAAAAATGCTCTACTATCAACTTTCTTATTCCTGGATCAAATTGTCTGGGCTGGAAGAACTGGGATATACAAGGTTCAAATTTCCTTCTAAAGCTTTACCCCAAATGAGTATTTGGTGATTTAGGATTTGTTTGGGACCACTTTCTTTCTGATTCTTGAACCAGCTTTCTAGTAAAAAAAAATTTTTGTGCTAGAAAGCTGGTAATAATAAAAAAGTAAATCGTCCCAAACGAAACCTTAAAATTGGATGAATAATTGATTTTCTTCCTTTAATTTTCCAGAACAAAGAACGCGCAGAACTGATTGGTAGGATATCCCTGTTCTGCTGGATGGGTTC